CTAGAAGGGAGGGACAGGATACAGCTGGACCTGGACAGGTTACAGGGGTGGGCAAATGAGAATAGGATGGGATTCAATACTGACAAGTGCAGGGTGTTGCACTTGGGCAGTAAGAACCAGCAGCATATCTATAGGCTGGGGAACTCCCTTCTTGAAAGCACAGTGGCAGAAAGAGATCTGGGAGTCATTATCGATTCCAAGATGAACATGGGCCGCCAATGCGAGGACAAGGTCAGTAGGGCTTACTGCACCCTGTCGTGCATCCACACATGCATCACGAGCAGGGCCACGGAGGTGATCCTCCCCCTCTATGCAACACTGGTCAGGCCGCAGCTGGAGTACTGCATCCAGTTCTGGGCCTCGCACTTCAGGAGGGATGTGGACAGCATTGAGAGGGTCCAAAGAAGGGCCACTCACATGATCCGGGTACAGCAGGGCAGACCCTATGAGGAATGGCTACAGGACCTTAACCTGTTCAGCCTTCACAAAAGAAGGCTGAGAGGGGATCTGGTGGCTGTCTGTAAACTTACTAGGGGGGACCAGTGGGAAATGGGAAAGACCTTGTTCCCCCAAGCACCTCTCAGAGTAACAAGGAATAACGGTCATAAGTTGTTAGAGAGTAAATTCAGACTAGACATCAGGAGGCACTACTTCACAGTCAGGGCAGGTAGGATCTGGAACCAACTTCCAAGGGAAGTGATGCTGGCTCCTACCTTGGGGGTCTTTAAGAGGAAGCTTGACGATTACCTAGCTGGGGTCATTTCAGCCCAGTTTTCTCTCCTGCTAAGGGCAGGGAGTTGGACTAAAAGATCTGCAAGGTCCCTTCCAGCCCTATATCTATGAATCTATGTAGATACGCCCACAGGGAGGAAAAAATGCTCACATACAGAATAGGAGTTAAATGGCTTCACATAGCACTGCCAAGGAGGTTCTGGCAGACAACAGCGCATCAGAAATTCAGCATAAATCAGCAAAAGCAAATGAAATTTTGGGCTGGAATAGCAAAGGTACTATTATGTAAGATAAAAAAAGTCTTGGGTTTGTCTCCAATAAAAAGCCCAGGTTATAAGAGCTCACCACAAGCATGCATGTTGCTTGTGACAGGATGGAACATATACAAGTAGGGGAAGCAGCGTGCTATTTCAGGAATGTAAATCCACTCCCAAAGCTTGGTTAGAAACGTAGAGGGCAAAATATATCTATCTTTTTCAAAAACACTTTGTATAAAACCATGTAAGTTTGTAGCTTTTAAAGTTCTCTACCCTACATTGAGGAGTTTTAAGATGAATCTTACCATTGCAAAGACCTTGAGCAAAGAGTAAAGGAAAAGAGGGTAATGGAATACTTTGTAGGGCTGTGCGAAGCTTCGGTCCCCGATTCAATTCAGTGGAGATTCAGCCTGATTTGGTGGCTGAATCTCCAAATCTGAATCGAATCAGGAAACCTTGTAATCTCTCTAAATCGAATCGGAACCCTCCAAACCTATTTGGAGAGATTCGGTGATTCAGACATAGACACAACTTTAAGTGTTTTTTCTACATACTCAAGGTACCGGGCAGCTTGTGAACACTGATGCTGGGGCGGGTGGAGGGTCCCACAGAAGCACAGGGAGCTCCCCAGCATGCTTGGCAGCAGATCTGGAAATGGACCAGAATAATTTCCGGTCCACTTCCAGATCCACTGGGGAGCACGTGGGGGGGCTCCCCTGTGCCCCCCCAGGTCAGTGACTGATGCCTCCTACGGCTGGGGGGGCACCCTGGGTCCCCTTGTGTTCAATGCCTGAGCCACAAAGGTGCGGGAGGGGGGCCCCCTGCACGCTCAGTGGCAAACTTGGACCAGAACTACTTCCAGTCCACTTCCGGATTTGCTGCTGAGCACACAGGGGGCCCCCAGCACCACAGCATTCATGAGCCGCACCCGGTGGTATGTAGCAAAAAACATTAAAAGCTATGTCTACAGCTGAATCACTGATTCTCTGAATCAGCTTCGAATCTTCAGACTCATATTTGGCCAAATCGAATTGGGGACAGTGATCCAAATCAGTGAATGAAATCACTGTCCCTGATTCGGGTCAAATCCAAATCGAATACGGTCCATTTCACACACTCCTAATAGTTTGGCTCGTGGGGCATCCACAGGAAAGAGGCAAGGTTAGAAGTGTGTGTGTGTGTGTGTGTGTGTGTGTGTGTGTGTGTGTGTG